ACAGACCTTGGCAAAAATGGTTTACGGTTATAGGATTAGGTCCATGACCGGGGTTAGACTCTGCCAATCCTAGTGAAGGATGCCGATTTGTTTTGAGGTTTATGGTGGAAGCCTTTCACAGAAAATTAGGGCTGTTGCGATTTACCGTGATATTTAAATATCTAAATATTATTTAATGTCAGTAATACATGCTTGATAGTATGTGAACAAATATTATAATAATATCTTAACATTTACACTTTTGCTCCCTTCCCCAGTGCCCCCCCCCCCCCCCCCATGTGTGAGTGAATGAGTGTTTTTAATTGCCGACAAAACATACAGTAAACAAACTTTAAGATTAATTTCACTCATAGCATCATTCTTCTTTTTACATTGTCTACAAATGTCAGATTTATTTTTAGTATTGTCATTTATTTTACCAGTTATTATCCTTTTGTAAAATAATATTGTGACAACCCTACCTGAAATGCTAAGTTGCTGAGTTTTGATTGACAGAACTGAAAAACAGGGAATGGTAATCAAGAGGAAAGCTGTGCAAAGACCCATGGTGGGATCTGCTGAGAGACAAAAACAAGATGAACAATTACAAACAAAAGCTGGAGCTGAGAAGATGGAGATTATAATATGCATAGAGAATCAGGAAACTCTGGGAATATACACAGCAGATGATGAAAGAGAGACACTCAAGAGGGAAGAATCCACCAGGAGGAGGGAAAGGAGTATATGCTGGCAGATTGTAAGAGGAAACAACATTTGCAAGATTTTTGCATTTAAATACCCAACAGATCTGCCAAGGCAGTCATTTTGTTATTTCAACAAATTACTGCGACAATGAAAGGTCCTCCAGCTCAAATAAGGGCAATTGTCTTCCCTGATAAACTACTCGGTCAAAAATGATAATACTTCTCAAGTTTGTTTTGACTCAGTTAAGAAAATCACTGAAATGACCTCCGGTGGCTTAAAGAGTCAAACAAACCAGAAGCCTCCATGTTTGTTTCGACCAATTTTGTTATCCGCTGTGAGGATGCATAATTTAATTTAATTTAAAGAAGAGAACACCTTTTTGCATATCCCTTTGTTGGTTCAATCACTCAGTTCTCCACAGAACTTAGAGTGTGCACTCAGTGCTGCAGAGAAAGTGTTCCTGGAAATGGACCTCATTTCAAATGCCCTCTTAAAGAATGACCTTGACCCTGGGACCTGCGCACACCAACGTAGCTGCTGTTCTTACAAGACTGAAAGCCCCGAGGACCTCCTTGCAGTTCAAAGAAGTCCCTGAGAGAGCTTCGGTTCAGGCTGAAGCAGCAGATATTAACATTCCTGATGTTATTCCAAGCCAGGCGAAGTGCAGAGAAATACCTGCAAAGTGAAAGGCACTGTTCCACATCGCTGACTGAAGAGTATCAGCCGCAGAGATGTATTACAAAGGCAGTCTGTACTTATCATCGAACTCAGTTCATACTCAGGAGCTCCAGAGACATGATGGGAAAGGGAATGTAGGTAAAATCAAAACAGACCATTCACACCTCATCAGATCAATCAAAGTAGGATGTTGGAGATGAGCGAGTTATAATGGGTTTTTTTAAATACTTTTTCAGAGGTTTAAGAGGGGAAGCTGCTGCTGACTGAACTGAGGTGTTTTACTCGGCATAAGAAACTTCCCAGGAGAGCACAGGTTAAACAGAGTGTATTCGAAAAAGCGTGAGACTCTAGTTGTTTTTCCATCACTATTGAAATTGGTGAAAATATATAATCTTCCAGTGTCAGCACGCTCTGTAGAAAGTTAATGAGTCAAGCAGATTGTGTCACTGTTGGTAGACAATGAAAATGCAGAAGGTTAAAGTACATTGCATGAGTATGCCTGCTACCTGAATATTACCAAACATTTTCTTCATTCAGAAAATAATCACAATGAAACAGGACATAAGATTAAGTCTCAATAGTCTAGTTTTATTTATCCCTTATTTACTATCTCTTTTTCTTTCTCTACCTCATTTTGTTCTACCCAGGCTTCACTCTTCAAGATACAAAGTGAGACTGATTATTCCTAACTCAAAACAAAAGATTATAACCCTAGAGAAATATAAACGCACGTTCTCTCTCGTCATTAAGTGTAAAACTAGCTAGCTAGATGCCCATCTAGCCTGCACAGTATGTGTGTACATTATATTAAATGTTACACACCATTTGCAGTAATGTCATGCCTGAGGCTTGACTAAATGGGTTCTTCCATCTTCCTTGACATTTATATAGGGTCAGTGTAAACATAGTAGACCTTGAAGCCTGCTGTCATGGTTATATTTTCATCAAGCCTGGCTCCTGACACAGTAAAACAAAAAGCATGCGATGTTTCGTACAACAGGATACCATTTCAAACCAACCACCCCCTGCTATATACTCATGTTCGCTCCCCTGAACATGTTGCACCTATAAACACCAGCTGGCTTAGTTTCTTAGATCAATAGAAATAAAGAAACATGTGGCTTTGGGGTCATTTCAGCAGGGAATGAATTTGTACTCGGGTTTAGTGGTTCATCCAGCACCCAGAAGGCAGATGGATTAATTCTCGCACACACAACACTACTGCTATAAAACATAACCTATTGTTTTCTCTATCGGAAAGGACAAAAGATGATGAGTTTCTGTTGTGATGGATTAAACAGATTTAACAGGCTCTCTTCTCAAATACAAAGCTGGCAGCCTCTGAAGCACCATCTCTACAGCCACAGAACAGGAGCCCTCTGTCTTTTTCGGTTAAAGACACAACTTTGTTTCAGGTTTTACATTATACATAATGGTAATTATTTTTAAATTGCATGGCACTGAGATACTACTTATTTTTGTCTTCCACACTTATCGTGAATGTTGGATTTACTCTACCTGTCCAGCCCCCTCCTCTGCCTCCATTTTTCTGAGTCATGAGGGCTTTTAGTGACTCATGCATCTCCCCTTCACTGTCTCTCTTAACCCCCCTTTCGTGTGTGTGTGTTGTGTGTGGGTGTGTGTGTGTGTGTGTGTGTGTGTGGTGTGTGTGGTGTGTGTGTGGGTGTGTGTGTGTGTGTGTGTGTGTGTGTGTGTGTGTGTGTGTGTGTGTGTGTGTGTGTGTGGTGTGTTGTGTGTGTGTGGTGTGTGTGTGTGTGTGTGTGTGTGTGGTGTGTGTGTGTGTGTGTGTGTGTGTGTGTGTGTGTGTGTGTGTGTGTGTTGTGTGTGTGTGTGTGTGTGTGGTGTGTGTGTGTGTGTGTGTGTGTGTGTGTGTGTGTGTGTGTGGTGTGTGTGTGTGTGTGTGTGTGTGTGTGTGTGTGTGTGTGTGTGTGTGTGTGTTTTGAAGGTCCACTCAGCAGGCCTATAAGCTTGCCTCAGTAAATAATGGAACTAACGAGCATAAGCCCAAATGAGCTTTTAATGGGCTCTGTCTACCTGCGGCTACAAGAGAGGAATGGGTGGAGGGGGCAGAATGATTAAAAAAGAACGAGACAAGAAGGGGAGAGGTCAAGGTAGACAAATGAAAAATATAAAGATCAGTTTTTAGCAATCACTGTTTCCTTACTTTGTACATGTGTAACTGCGTCATATTGGTATTGATATCTGACCTTGAGATAAATTATTTGACCTGCAAGCTACATCCGTGATCAGAACCATCTTGGCCAAAATGCTGATTGTGTGTTAAGATAGGCAGTGATTATGGTAGCAGCTGAGTGCAGGCACTATGACACATAAGGGATATTGTTGAACAGCAAAAAAAAGTGTATTGTACAGAAACTAAGAATTAAGTCATTGTATTTAACCGCTATAACTTTATTTGAATTTTGATGCTAAGTTTAATTGTATACATGTAGATAGTTTATTGTCCAAACACTGGTTGATGTCATATTAGTTAGATTTGTTTAAATTAGGATATCCAAAGTATGCCATAACACTCATGCTCATTATTTAATCCTATATAACACAATATTTTATCTGAATACAAGCTACCAGCCTTTTCCCTTATTATTGAATTGGCAATAACTTTGAAAGATGTATGACCCATTTAAAAAAAGGGCACATATCATAAAACACTCACATTCAGTGTTTGTAGATGTAGATACATGTTGGTTTCTGGAGTCATTTTTTAACCAACACACTGTCAAATAAATCCAACCAGTCATATGTTTTGGGCTGCATTGGTCAGAAAAGGTGTTATTATTAATAAAGCCATTCAAATGTGTCTCATACACATCATTTGACTTACTCAGGTCTGCTTTAAGGTCTCTTTTCACTACAGTGCTTTTGCTACCAGTGTCCCTTTTCCTTCCTATAACTCGAAGGCTCTTTCCATACAGCATCCATAAATAATTGATGGAGCGGTGAAGCACCATGTGAAAGTAGTATAAATATAATAGATGCTCCATGTATATTAGCTTTTGATATGGATATCTTAACATTAATGACATTTTGTTCCCACATAAGTGTTCTCGACTTTGACGTAATGTAATATCATTTTTTGACGATGTCTTGTGAGACACAGTTAACACAGAGGCTAAAGAGAGATTATGATCAATCAGATAGATGGCACAGAGAAACATTTGGCCACGGCGATTGATGAGTTGTCTGTTCGGCTGACAGAGCAGCAGACATGCATGGAACTGTAAATAGACACTTGATTGATACCACCTCATTGTGCAGTCTTGGGTTACGGTTGCATTTCTTCTTCATGCTGCAGTTGCATCGTTACTCAAAGTGTGCGGGCAAGGCTGTCTTCAGAGGAGCTGAACCAATTGATGTGTGGGTTTAGGTATTAAAGGGCTTTTCAGAGAGGAACTGCATAAATGTAAATCTTAAGGCTCTGACTGTTGATGTGTGTGATTAAACATCTTAAGACACTCACATCTTTTATGGCCCTGCCTAAAATATGTAAATAAAACATCACTCTTGCAAATAGGCTGTCTAGCACTTCATTTTTCTTACAGACTAGTTTATTAAACCTGTCATTTTGAACCATCGCTGGTTTTGTTTCTTCGCAGAGTGCCGTGATGTGCTGTTACCCATGATGCTGCGGGAGTTGGGTGGGGCACTTGCCAGCATGGCTGACGGGCCTCACGATGAGAGGAGAAATAGTCTGGAGCTGCTCAACAACATTCTGGAGGTCCTCAGCCGGGACAGTGTGGTAAGACGTAGAGCTATTTAATAGTAAAGAACACATAATGGAAATGTTTACACTGCATTCTGGGTGATTGTTTCAAATTAGACAGCGTTGAACACATCCAATATACTCTGAGAACATGTTGGGATCCAATTTCTTTGTTGACATTTGAATATAGTTTAGCTAGATATTATAAACTCAATCACAGCTTATATTAACACCAAGTTCCTATGTGTTTCAGACTATCTCTCAACATCATTACCTCCCTCATTGTATTTCCTAACAACTTCTTTCATTTGGAGGTTTTCTGTATAGTTTTACTCCATAGGCCGAAAGCAATCCCATTACCTCAACAGCTGTTTGGCTGAATGCTTACAGTTTCCTGAGATATTTAAATACCAATGGTCAATTGAGGTGCAACTAAAGTGCCATAAGTGGGCCGCAACAACATCGGTTTCGACTGGTTTAAACTATAAATGTGCCAATGACCACAATAATACATTCTAGATTATTACCGCTGAGGCAGACCAATAAGCAAACAACCTATAACTGAACTTTAAGCATTATTTGCTCTCATATAACATTAAACCTTCTTACACAGGATTTTTATTAGTAAAGTGTTAAAGTAAAACAATGCAGGCAGGAACTAAAAAACCTTTTCTTTATCTTTTAAGGATCACTGGATGAATGTGTAATGCCCCTGAGCTCTGTGCCTGCCCAGTGCAATTTGTCTCCTAAAGAATAAAGTAAATAGCCTTAAGCTGTTTTGTTTCCAGTCTTCCAGTTGTGCAATAGTGCAGGCCTTGACCAATTAAAATCTAATTGATTGTGCCGCATGTTAGTCTGTCGAAACAAAATCCAGCTAGCTCATGAACTAAACACCTTTAATACTCACACAGAACAAATACATCAATGGAATCCATCTGAGGTCTTTTAAATTGCTTTTGCAAGGTATTGGCAACCTGCTGAGTTTTTGAAGTGAAGGTGTGGCTCTTTTTTCAGCTCTATTTGTCTGGATATCTGTAATTAAGCATGAGCCGAAAAAGGAGAGGAGAGGGAGAAGTAATGAATGAATGAATGAATGAATGAATGAATGAATGAATGAATGAATGAATGAATGGAGTGCAATAGGATGACATTAGCGTGCGCCGGTTGCGGTATAACAAAAGAAAACAGGCTGTAGCTGAGATTCAAAGGGACATGACAGGTACAAACATATTAACGTCTAATACATGCTTTATATGGCATTAGGGGAAATGTCTGCTGATGGACTGCATATATGTGTCAAGACTCCAGATCAAAGTATTCTCTTAGCAAACACACACTCAGAGTGAGCACTAGTTCTGATATTTATTTCCGGATTTAATTTAGTACACATTCACACCATCTAGAGTGTGTGTTGCTAGACTGCATGGTGGAGTTTAATGAGAACCCTGGCCGGCAAAACCTCTGCATTGCTTCCTTTCTTTATGCTTTGCAGCATAAAGAAGGGAAGAAGGGAAATAATTAAGAAGAGGAGAAAAAGCCAGATAGATGAATAATGCCAATGGCCATTCAGGGAGAATGAAAAACATTGAATGGAATGGTAAGAGAGAGAGAGAGAGCAGTACAAGCTAAACAGACAGAGGGGAGAGGGTTTATGTCTACACTAATAAGGTGGAGGGGTTCTACAAGACAACTCTGCACTGAACTAGAGAAATGACAGTCTGAAATTGGAATGGGGGTGCAATAAAACAAATTGAAGAAAACAACAGAAATAGAGGAAGACATGGGTGATGTGAGACTGTCTCAATGTCTCACCTTCTGGCCCTCTATCACTTATTTTCATCCCCTCTCCTTTTGTTTTCCACCCATCTGTCTCTCTCTCTCGCTCAGGTTGGTACCTGATTAAGTTGTTGCACAACAGATGTCTCCAAACTGGGGAGAGAAGCATAAAAAAAAGCTTAGATGTAAGAGAAGACAAAACAAAAGACAGATGCTCTCGGAGAGTTTGTGTTGAATGTATAAGTCAGTCTTGTTCGTGTATGTGAGTGATAGAGAGAGACAGTAAGAAATGGCTCACCCAGGCTTCCTCGTTTTCTTCTTTTACCTATCCCCAAAACAATGGGTTATTTTCACATTATTTTGCCAGCGAAAGGTAAACCAGTACAGTTTGGAATACATGAACAGAGTATCGACATCTTTGTGTTTTGCAGGAGAGGGAACGAGCGTTGTGCCTCATCTCCCGTCTTCCAGCTCTGACAAACCAAAATACCTACAGTGAGCCAGAAAGAATTAGGCTTATTTGGGATCAACAGCTGCGCCACAACCTTAGTGTGTGTGTGTGTGTGTGTGTTTGTGTGTGTGTGTGTGACAGTGAGAGCGTGAGAGGGAAAGTTTAAGGTAGTCTCAGATAGAAATGGTATGCAAGAGGACACACTTACACAGTTGTTCATCTTTCAGTGCCCTGTGGCTGAGTCAGTACATTTAGTGTGGTTTAATAATAATAATAATAAATTCTATTTATATAGCGCTTTTCTAAGACCCAAAGACGCTTTACATTTGGGGAAGGGTAGACAGACAAGGACAGGCAACAAAACAAAAACAAAACAGAGAAAAAAAAAGAAAAAAAAAACAGAAAGCAGTCAGGAGGAAGTGGGGGGTGGGGGGGGGGGGCTTATGGGTATACAGATTTGAAGAGATGGGTTTTGAGGCGGGACTGGAACAGGGTGAGGGACTCGGACTCACGGAGGTCTTGGGGGAGGGAGTTCCAGAGCTTCGGGGCTGCCACAGAATGCTCTGTCCCCAAAGCTCCGGAGTTTGGCCTTGGGGATGGAAAGCAGACCGGCTGAGGTGGATCTGAGGGACCGGGGTGGTTGGTAGAGGATGAGGAGGTCAGTGAGGTAGGGGGGGGGCCAGGTGGTGGAGGGCTTTGTAGGTGAGTACCAGGAGTTTGTGTTGGATGCGGTGTGAAACGGGGAGCCAGTGAAGTTCTTTGAGGACCGGGGTGATATGATGCCATGATTTGGTGTGGGTGAGGAGTCTGGCGGCTGCGTTCTGGACACGCTGAAGTCTATTGAGGGATGTAGTGCTGATGCCGTAGAGGAGTGCGTTGCAATAGTCCAGGCGGGAGGAGATGAAGGCGTGAATGAGTCGCTCAGCTGCAGGGCGGGTGAGAGAGGGACGGAGTTTGGCGATATTGCGGAGGTGGAAAAATGAGGTTTTTACAACTTGGCGGATGTGGGGCTCGAGGGAGAGGGTGGGGTCAAATCTTGCCTTCATCCGGCCCTTAAAATATCATCTGCCATCAGGCCAGCACACACAGCAACACACACAGACACACAAGCAAAGTCAGTAGAAGAGAGATTGCCGTTTTAAACTTTGAACTTGAGTCTTTTTTCCCTACTTTAATTTCTATTCTGACCTTTGCTCTCTGCTATTATTATTTTCTGATCAGCTCAGACAAGGACATGAACAAAAAACTAATTCTGGTGAGATTATTATAACACTGTTAGCATACTCTAAACAAATGTACACACACACGCACACACACACGCACACACACACAGACAGACAGACAGACAGACAGACAGACACACGCACACGCGCACACTGACACAAAGATGCACCCTGCAGCATTATTACTAAGATGTGCTTGGATGCAGCAGATGCCCCAGTAGTGAGTTACTACCCTCAGGCAAGTCTGAGTCAGCTTCCATTGACCAATTCACTGTAGCATAGTGTGTGTGTGGTTGTGTGTGTAGGTTTGTATTTTGTTCTGTGCTCATGGATGCATCTGTCAAGGTGCATGTTTTTTATGTAAAATGTGTATTTTTTGGAAAGAATTAGCACTATTTTTATGCGTCATTAGTCTGACCTTGCATTTTTCTTGGGTTTCAGACTATTTGAATTACTTTGTTGCCTTTTTTAAGGTGGCAATTGTCTTAAATGTTTTTGACATTAAAAGTTGTTTTCAGTATTTTTTTAGAAATGTAAAATGTGTTATCTTATTAAAGGCTTTATTTTCATCATGCATTGACTGCTTTCTGCATATTCAATGTTAAAACAATACAGATGAATGGTGGCAATAATGTTTGGGTTACAGGACAATGGATCTCAATTATATTGCTTAACAAAATAAGGAGAAAATCTTTGACCATGGGTCATCTTATTCATAGTACAAGTGTTACCTAAAACATCTAAAGCAGGGGTCACCAACCTTTTTTAGGATGAGAGCTACTTTCAAAAAATAAAACAAGTCGGGGGCTACTTTTACTCCTCTTTTTTTGTTTTTTGCAGTGTATATATTTAGCACATTTAACATTATTATATGCTGACCTTTAACCTTTGTGTGCTGTTCGGGTCTGTGGGACCCGTTTTCAGTGTTTACTAAAAGAACATGTATGCAATTTAATTATTTTAACTGCTTTATTTTGGGGGTGGACCTCACATCCTCTAGGGGGGTCCTCACCTCCTCTAGGGGGGTCCGGGGGCATGCACCCCCAGGAAGATTATTTTTAAATGTTGAAGTGAAATGCATCAATCTGGTGCACTTTGAGCACAACATGAATTTATTGATACAGCTCTCAACACTCAAAGGGAGCTGTATACTTTTCAATAATCCAAACATCTTTAGAATATGATCACAACCAATAACAAATCATTTAAACTTGTTTATTCTTATCTTATGTTACCTAGTTAGCATTCTTTCTTTTTATTTATGCATATTTTACTAATCACTCCCCTTTTAAACAGTTTTTTTGTAAGTTGCAACACACACAGTAAAACCCTGCCCCTCATGTGTTGTATAGGCTGGCACGACTAGCTGTTCATTGCTTTTCTTCCCGACTGCAATGCTGGTCCCGCAAATCAAGCAAGAACGTGATTGGTCGATATTCATTGTGGGGCGGGGGGAGGAGGGGTGTTAGATAGATATAGAGTTGTATTAAGTAGATAGAGTTCGCTATGATTGAGCTATTTTTAGAACATGCCCCGCGGGCGACTAAGTGCCCGCGGGCACCATGTTGGCTACCCCTGATCTAAAGTAATCCCATATTATAATATTAAATGGGTATCAATTATCAATATGTTTTTGAGGTATTTGACATAAGATATCACAATATGTGAGTTTTTTCATATACCACTGCCTACTTCTTTTTATGTTTAGTAGTGTTGGTTGTCAAAGCCTGCTTTTAATATGACTGACCCCTGAAAGAGTTGCAAATATTATCCACCATTTTTTCTTTTGCTTCATAAAACAACTAAATTGCTAGAATAAAACATCCCTTTCCAGCTCCAGACAGTAAGACCAACCATATGTGCCAGATTAACAACACTTGCCATGACAAATAATTGTTATATTTTAACTAGGAGAAAGTCATTTGCCTTGGGAAAGGTTTAAGCACAGACTGTTAGATCTTCTCGTCCTTGTTTGCCTCTGGGCAGATGGAGGAGAAGAAAGCTGACAGAAAAGTGGCTTCAAAGGAAAGGAAAAGATGGGACAAGGAAAGCAGGTCTGCACAAAAAAATCCACATCCACGTGCCTTTGAGGTTCAAATGTCCACACTGAGGATGATTAACTGAATGTCCTGGTGAGGCCTCTTCCTAAAAAGTGAACCGACTTTTAACTTGATTCTCTTTGTTGTTTCATTTGATCCACCAATCATCCATTCAGAGCCCGAGTGAATCTTTTTATTGTGTGTGCAAACTTGGTTATTTTTGCTGTTAGGAGAGTTCATGAGAGGGAAAAACGGCAACAAAAACAAATCAAAGGTTTCTGAGATGGATCTGATGTTATGCCTGAGAGGAAGCTGATTCAACAGAACCGGATTCTGTTCTGCAGCTGTTCTTGTTTTTGTGTGTGTTAACAATATTATGGTTCCTTGTCTATACTTCTCTCTCCATCTTTCCCCAGTATTCCCCGTGATTTAACTCTGCTCTGCTTTTTGTTTTCAGGGTGAAACCTTTCAACATGTGCAGGACATTGTGGTGTCTCTGCTGAGGATCATCAACCGGACGGTCATCACGATGGGAAGAGAGCACGCCCTAATCGTAAGTACATAAAGGACTGCAGACCCTCCTCTCTTTTCTCACTTTGTCTGCTCTTTCAAATGTATTCATATAAAGACCAACCCCCATCCACTCTTGTCTGCTAATATGACTTCATTTTGAAACACAAAGTATTTCAACACAATGACATTTTGTTTAAAATACACACTTTATTGTACATACAAGAGGAAGATCAGGAAGAGAGGGGGATTGTGGGAGCTCACACACACTGTTGGGTTAATTAGTGAGTGTGGTATCATCCAGTGGTCTAATTGGTGGCAACCTGTCAGCCAGAAGCAGCTGGAGTAGGTCCTTTTAAGATTTAGTGGTTAACCTCTAAACTGCTGTGAGCTAAGCAGTGTGCAAATGGTGTGTGTTTGTGTGGAAAATAATGATGTGGGTGTGTTTCCAACAGGGATGGACGCCAGAGTAGTCTGCCAATATATCATTTGTGAAAAAATACTGTATATTAACCCACACATTTTGTTATGATATACATTAACACATGTATTGGTAAAACGGAAAGGAATAGCTTTAAAAAAAGCGAATAGCTTTAAAAAAAAGCGTTTTATTCTGTTCAATTCACTGGGTAACTGGGTGCATGTACTCACTGTGCAACTGCAGTCACAGTTGATGGGTGCTAAATCACATGAAACAGATTATGTCGAGCTCTCCATATGTTGCACAACAACAAAGCATTCCGCTGCATGATTTCTGCAACGTGAACTTAAGCAAAGCTTCAGAAATACACAGCTAGTCTCACAGTGATCATACAGAATGTATAGGTGCTGTATTAGCTTAGGCTTTGCAAGTATTGATACACATTTGAAACATGAGTACAGGCCAATAACTAACTGTTCTACCCCCTAGTTTGCAGTGTGTGTGTGTGTGTGTGTGTGTGTGTGTGTGTGTGTGTGTGTGTGTGTGTGTGTGTGTGTGTGTGTGTGTGTGTGTGTGTGTGTGTGTGTGTGTGTGTGTGTGTGTGTGTGTGTGTGTGTGTGTGTGTGTGTGTGTGTGTGTGTGTGTGTGTGTGTGTGTGTGTGTGTGTGTGTGTGTGTGTGTGTGTGTGTGTGTGTGTGTGTGTGTGTGTGTGTGTGTGTGTGTGTGTGTGTGTGTGTGTGTGTGTGTGTGTGTGTGTGTGTGTGTGTGTGTGTGTGTAAAACAAGACTGAGCTTACATCAAAACACTTCCACTTTGGATGGTCAAAGGTGAGAATCAATCACTCTGTCAAACAACGCTGACAGAATTTTTAATAATTTGAAAAGGTCTATCAGCGTGCTGCCTATCACTTCGTCTCTTAATGTATTCTTAACACAGTCCACTGTGCTCTCCAAACCCTGATATCCATCCAGCGAGCTGTCTCTTTGTTTCCAGCGAGCTGTCTCTTTGTTTCCAGAGAGCATCACATTCTGTCCCACATATGTCCTCTTTAGCTATTCAGTCGTTGCTACATTCATGTTGGCTCTCACTCCGTCCAAAGACACAGTATTCCGATTTGTTGTTAGATTTCTTGGATCATCAAAATCATTCTGATACCAGTGCTTATAGCTGGGATTCAGAAAAGATTGATGTGGGGATTATTTCCCAGCTGTAGCGTGAATCCATCTTGGGATAAATCTGTTCATACATCGGTCCATATGCCTCACCAGCCACTCAGCCAAGTGAAAAATAATACTCCTGTCTGTCATCCAAAGATTTGATGCTTCAGCTCTTTTTTAATTATAAAGGGAGAACAGTATCCTCACTTTGAGTCAAAAGTTAATCTCATATTAGCTGCTTGAGTCCCACAGAGGGAGGGTCATGGTCGTCCTCAATAACCCTCTTGGGTATATCAGAGAACAAAGTTCAGCAGGTCCCCATTTTCTCTTTCTCTACCTCGTCCTGTAGTGTATATTTTGTAGAGCTGAAGATGGATTGCCGTGGGAAAAAGTGCCATTTACAGGGATACTGCTTAAAAAAAAAAGCCACCACTGATTTAAATGACACTGAAACACATGTCACACCCCGGAGACCAGGAGGGGGACGCTATGTTCCAAAGGTTTGAGGCCTGTAGTCTCCTGCTACAACCCATATGCCTGGAAAAGGTGCTTTTTTCCAGATTTTACAGCCACCAAAAACACTTCTTACGGAGCTTCTTGACACGCGCCTTGGTGCTGGGACGACTTGCGGAAGAAGGGGCTAGGGTGGGCTTGGTCAGAGTCAATGCAGGCACATCATACTCCCCATCCAGGGCCTCCATCACCCCCTGGAAGCGTCCCTCCTGCTGTCGGAAATCATGCTCCACACTGGAGAGGAGAGACAGAAAGAGGAGGAGACAGGAGAAGCAGCGGGAGCACAGTTAGAGTTTGAACTATAGGGTCAGTTAAAGTCAAATTCATAAAAATAGCTCATTTATTCACAAAAGGAGATTAGATATGGGGGTACCGAGGAGCGTATGAGCAGAGCGTTTTGAAAACAGGTATAGGTCTACTCTGCAGAAAGAGAGATTAGAGAGAGGGATTGAGAAGAGGTGAGCGAAGGAGTTTTAGTGACATTAAAATGTAAAGTGTATCGTAAATTGCTGACAACACCTAAAAGGAGGGGCTGTACTCACGCATAATACATTTTTATATAGAGGTGTAAAACCATGTTGTGTTCTTAACTCTGATACATGCACCTTCAGCAAACGCACACACACTCACATTTTCACAGAGGTCTCACTCTGCACGTATTTCCAGCCATTGTATTCTTTCGCGCTTCATGCACCGAGAGATGACAGGCCGGTGAGACGAGTGGATTGGGAAGAGAATAAAAAAGAGAGCAGGAAAGAGAGGAGGGAAAGGGGTCTTTGCACAAATGGCGGAGCTAAAGAGAGGAGCATAGGGGAGAACGTTTTTTTTCTGATGTGTTCAAAGCAGACCCTCTTGGCTTTCCTTTTCTATGCTTCTATATTTCCACTGCCCAACTCTCATCTCTCTCACACTTTTTCTCTCCATCTCTCTGAAGTGCCCACCGCTGCGGGTCATAGTGTAGTCTCGGAGTTTCTTTTTCCTTTCAGTAACTTTGTTTGTGTGTGAAGGATCATGTGAGTGTGTGTCGAGTTGGATTATAGGGGAGGAGCCGCATAGGGCCCGGCATCTGGAGGTAATGAGCCACATGATGAGGCAAGGAGAGCAGAGACAACTCCCCATCCCCTCCCACCATCACACACACATACAGGCACACACACACACACACAAACACACATGTGCTCCCCTGACATCCAACGTGAGCTTCTTCCACAACAAGCCCCCCGGCTGAGTGTGGGGGGGGGAAAGGGAATGTCCATGGATTTATGGAATGAAAGAGGAAAGAAGCAGATTTTTCCTCTGGGGTACGCAGCGGTGGGTAAATAAAAGAAATGGCAAGCTTAATAAAAGAGGGCAGAGAGGTCCTGAAGAAAGCTCAGAGGGAGGTAAAGGAGGAGATGGAGTGCAGTAATGGAGGCACAGAGGGAACGAGTCATAAGGGGAAAGTAAAAGCTCTGGTGTTCACAGAGGAAGGAATATGGCTGCCATGAATAAATAATAAAGGAGATGTACTATACTTATACACAACATATATATATAAGTGGTGCACCTTTCCCACATTCACTCAATTTATAGTCGTTCTTGTTTTAGAGAGGAGGACTTTTCTTCCTCTGTCGGGTCTCTCAACCTCCCCCTCTTTAAATTCTCTCCAACTACCTCCCTCTACCTATATCTACTTCTCCTTCCACTATTGTTCGACAGCTTACGGCACAGTGGGAAAAGCCCCTGCTCTTAATTCGGTCTGCAAGCTGTCATCTTCAGCTTCTTTGCAACTGTGTGCGTGACTGGGTTACTGTTGCTTCTAAGAACCCGTTAAATGTTTAAACCTTCACTTTTTGTTTAAAGTGAAGGTAAGTCATGTCGTGCACGGGGTTATGCTTAGGTTGTGCATGTACAGTGTGTGCTGTTACTGCTGTATGAGTGGAAGCAAGTCTCAGAAGTATTTTGTCAGTGTGTTCATATATGTGTGTGTTTGAAGTGTTAAGCGTTGGGAGAAAAAAAGAGGCCTGTCAAAAGTTCCTCTCGTCTCTCGTGATACAGATTAATTAGTGCTGACAATGGCAAAACATCGCCAGCCCCACATCAAAACCACTTCTTTCACCACAATTCATTAGGATGGATGGTTCAGTCCCCACGCGTAATTTATCCTCCGCTTATGTGTCTCCTTCCTATCTCCCATGCTCTTTACCCAGAATCCTCTCTGAGGGCTTGATAAGGCCTCTCATCAAACAAATTGAGCTTCTGATTTTTGTGTGTCTTTGTCACAATGGGCAACTGGAAATTGTTTCTGCATATATAATGTGTGTAAAGGAAGTTATGCTGATATATGAGAAGAAAAATTATTATGAAGCAGATACTGCATATCTGTCCAAGTCATTAACATTTTCAAAAAGCGTGAAGTATATCCGTTTCAGTGTTTGTCGGTATGTATGTGAGTGTGAGCATGCAAGTAAGCATATGAAATGCATGCACAGACGTATCCAATAATAGCTGATTGTTGGATTAATTAGCATATGTGTATACATGATTATATTTGCAACTGTGCAAGAAACACAAAGGGGAAAGTGGAGCAGGCAAAATCTGTGAAACTGAGAAGAGAGAAAAGAGGGATGATAATGAAGTGAGCAAAGCAACTTGCTGTTGAGATATGGGTAGCTCCAGGCCTTGAAAGTATTTTAAAGTCTTATTTACTGTTATTACAGGATTACAGGGTAGTTTATTTTAAAGGTAAAATAATAGCATTACATAGAACAAAATAGTCCTTTAAAGGTGGGGTAGGTAAGTTTGAGAAACCGGCTCGAGATACACTTTTTGTTATATTCCATGGAATGCTCTTAACATCCCGATAGCAATGCATATCTTAAGTGCTTTGACAAAAAATCCATAAAAAAATGTCATCTGTGGAAGCCGTAATACTGTAAAAAGTACGACCCGGCTAAAATAACTGGATGGCCTACCTGCCTGTCAACCTTCCATCTGTGCACAAACTTATCTCGTGCCCTCATTGGTCATGTGTGCGTTCGTGTGTGTTGGAGGAGGGGCTCTGTAAGGAAGTGGCAGATTTTTCCCGGCTGTGTATTTTCAAATTCTAGCGCTGGTTTCTCCAAAATTACCTACCCCACCTTTAAGTCCTGTAAACATAATTTATCTGAACAAATGTCATACACCTCTACATTTAGCTTTTCTTTCTTTTTTTTGTTGCCTTTTTAAAATGAAGTTCCATCATGTGAGGACATTTTCGGAAAACTGAAAATTGACCAGAATAATGCTTTCTTTGAGCAATCGTGTTTGTGAAATGCTACTTCAAGTGCTTTCATCTTCAGTGTATGTTCTTGTATATGAGAAAATGCACTGTGTAGAGTGGGGGAGTTGTGTCTGTTACATTTACATATGTGCTCATCTGTATGAATCTATGGATGTATGCTTCTATTACCATGTGGCAGTCCTTTCCCCTTGGAGTTCATTACAACTAACAAGGATCCGGCTGTGTTAATTAAGATCCAGGGGAGAAGAGAATAGGGTGATGAGATGGAGTGATTAAATAAAGTGAGAATACAGGAGGGATGCAGATATGAGGCTTCTGGGAGGCTCATTTCTTTGTGAGTGAGGGAGAACTGGAGAGATAAAGGCCCGGGAAATGTTTCGTTATCCCTTTAGACCTGCATGAAGATTTATATTTGTAAACAAGCAAAATCAGTTTTAAAGCATAGTTTAGGTCGTATACATGCACACAAAACAGCTTAAGACTAAAATGAGGTTTTGATGCCAGAATATTCCAGTAACAGCAAGTAGACCTTTCCATTTTCTCTATTAGGCTAGGCCAGGGGTCTGCAACCTTTTTGACCAAAAGAGCCATTTTGCCCCCTTTTCCACCATTTTGTTTTGTCTGGAGCCGCAAAACATATTTGATAGCTTGATAGCTTATAAAGTTGTATATATTGTTACATCATGACAAAAACTACAGTTTTTTTGCATTTATTATTTATTACATTATATAAAACTCTTAACCTCTAATAAGAAACAAAGAACTCTTACTGTATAAGGAGAATTAAATAAAATACACAGGCCTACTTTAAAATAAATCAACACAGCACGTGGGGAGTCCTCTGCACATTTGAAGAAAATGAATATAATTAAAATTGACCCACTTTGAAATAAATAAAACGTATAGCTGCACCCTAAAAAGAGTGAACTGATTGAATTATGACTGAAGATCGTCAGCTGTCTTCCTCTTCCGTTTTTTTCCTCGATACGTAAAGGCTGCAGCACCTTTGACCACTTCTCTCCACATATCAAACATACCGGTAAGCCAGCATCGTTTGCTTGAAAGCAGATAACTCTAACCACGCAGAATTAAACCCTCACCACGCAGAATTAAACCCTCTGTGTTCCTCCGATACTTTTCTTTTCTTTGATGTATCCATAGTTCACTCATCGAGCCGGGGGTCAGGTTATTCACCTGCAAGAAAAGGCGCTGGCGTGGGACAGTAGCAGGATATGACGCATATTTTAGTTGACCTAATTAAAAACCGTTTGAAAAAAAAATTATGTGCCACAGTATCACCTCAAAATACAAGATACGAAAACATTTCAACCGTGCAACAAAATATTCCTACAAATATTTTTATTTTATTTCCTTCTTATTTTTGTCTAAGCTCAAGGGAGCCAGAGCAGAGGGGGTTGCCGACCCCTGGGCTACGACATCACAATCCTGAATTCTAGTTGCCAACAATTGTCGTACCTTTAATTGCAATTAATTATTAAATTGTCGATTTCTGTTTATTTGATGTCATACATAGTTGCTTTTGTGTTGGGTTTTGCAACTAGAATTATATCCGAGTTGGTCATTTTAGTGTCAATAAATCTAAAAAGGCACAGAAACAAGGTTTGTGTTTCAAAACAACAAAAACTGTTCAAGAGAAGTTAATAATCTAGAGGGAGACTTAATTTTATTCTTCAAAAGTAACAAAGAAAAGACAGCTTCACTGATTATTATTTTCTGCTTGGATGTTGTTCGTCCAATCCTGCCTGAGAGGTTCACCATGACTGTCCCTCTCTCGCTGTGTGTTTACACACTCACCAAGCCAAGAGTACACACTGATGTATTCCTAAACGGACCCTGGCTACTCTTTTAACACCATGTTTCCATCCACACATTTTGTTGTGGACAATTTAATTAAAAAAGCTGGATGGAAGCACCAGCTCCAGCATAACGTTCCCCGGCAGAGCTGTCAAACACACTGCTGCAGCTGTTGGGGAGACTTTCTGCCTCCTCTGTCACCATTTTTCATTATAAGCAACCAGCAGAGTTTCATATTAGCTCAGACAAAACAACCTGTCCGATAGCAGTGCATTCTAGATATCCATCTCTGTTTCTTAACATTTGTTTCCAGACATTTAAACCTTTGCTGAGGACTCTTTATTTATCTGGCAGACAGAAACACACTCTCTATTTGTCGCCTCAGTTATAACCTTGGCTTTCATTGACTTGTTTTTATGGCTCATTTTCTTATTGGCTCTGAATTTCCTTTATTGTGTTATCCTATGAATATGCCAAGCAATAACGATCAGACGATTGTGACAGGCCATTTGTATATGCTACTGTATGTTTAAACAAACATTTCCAGCTTGTGTATGCAGTGCACATAAAGAGTGTGGGAGTGGGATGCAGGTGATTAGAGCGTTGGCATGTGACAGATGGAAGAATGTACAGAGGAAACCGGTTTGATTGAAAGTTAGAGATGAAAGAAAGATAGCTTGAGCATGGGATGAAAAGATGGAGTGATTTACATAATGAAAAGGGATGGGAAGAGGGGATGGGAGGATTCAACTACTGTATGCAGTATCAGATAAGGATGCAGCTCTGTAAACTGCAGAGGATCCGAGAATGCAATTACTTATTTAGGCCACACACACGAGGGACCACGGAAACGGAAAAGATGCATCACTTACTGTAGGTGCTGAATTAATTTGCCTATTTGCACAGAACATAATTGTGTGTCTAAATAACTCCTCGTCTAATAGGGCTTGGATTCATTTCACTATTGTTGAATGGGTTCACACACTGTTTCATATAATAGGGATATATTGTATGAGAAGTACAATTATCAGAGACTGAGAAAAGGGCAGAGGCAGCAGGATACCGAGACGAAAGACGAGAAGATACAATAAAAGATGTTCTGAATAAGTAATTACAAATGGAAAGGCTGAAAGAAATCAAGGTGACAAAAGGCATGCAGTTGTTTGGGTTATGTAAAGCCGTTAGCTCATTATGCCGGTTACCTGTAGATGATGCAGGCTGTCTTTTGGCAGGTGGGGCAGTTGTTAATGTCCTGGCCAGTTCTGTATGAGCTGCGCCTGCAGAGACAACACGTGTAAAACAGGGAACAAATGCCTTTTTTTACTACTGATAATTCGTTTTTAGTTTTTATTTCACTAATAGTCACTAATAAGGGCTAAGGGAGGCGTGTGGCGCAGTGGATAGAGCCTTGGTATGGGGATCAGATGGTCACAGGCAGTCAGCATGTCGTTGTGTCCCTGGGCAAGACACTTCACCCCAAATTGCTCCTGTGGGGTTTGCCCACAGTATTGAGTATGTAAGTCGCTTTGGATAAAAGCGTCTAACATGTAATGTAATGTAATAATAACAAGGATCAGGTTTTGTTGTTTAGAAAGAAAAATGAAAGAAATAGTCATTTTGAACTAACAACAGGCTTTGATTTTCATACTGAAAGAAGTCTCACTCCCTCTACTGCTGTTGTTACCGTTTGTATTAGTCTCTCCCACATCAGTTGTGTTCTCTGGGGATTCTGAACGGACACAAAATAGCTTGTGATGTTTTGTTGCACCCGAACAGTTTTCAGGACGTCACCTGAAGACCCTCGTGGGTTGACTGCTTGGCATTCCAGGCAGATAAATAAAACACCAAGCATTGTGTTCAATGGCTGTGTGGGTTGGTTAGTTGCAAGCCAATCATTAGATTATATCAATATCATAAACAGTGTTCAGTGACAATTGTCATTTTTTTTTATAAATACCAATTTAAAGAAAATGTTGTTTATTTCAAAGAAAACATGCTAACACATTCAAACTGTTATCCAGGTTGAACAAGACTACAGAGCTTGTTGGGAAATAAAGTCGGATAAAAAGATCTGATAAGCTCTTGCCGACTGCCATTTAATTAAAAGGCTTCTGTTTGGATTGGAAATGTTGGCTGCCCCTTTACTGAACTGTTTCGACGAGGGAGTGGCTGATTTATTTTTGACAAAATAGTCATTTTAATTACATGGGGTGAGACCTTGTGACTGGCATCATTTCCCCCCCCCCCCCCCCCCCCCCCCCCCCCTACAAGTGTTTATAAAAGACAACGCCAGCAAGACAAGACAAGTATTTTCTGCGGGAGAGAAAGAAAAACACAGAGCTGAGCTCAGCCTCTTAGCTCAGCCGACACTTTTATCACAGCAGCCCACTTAGAGTGCTTTCATTCCTGGCAGTGCATCAGATGCATGCAGACCCTCTTACTCGCTGGTTCTCTTACTTTTCTGTGTCTCTTTTTTTCTCTCAATTGCGTTCTCTTTCTGTCTCTCCTTTTCTCTCCTGTCTGCCCCTTTTAACCCCTATTCTCACACTCTTAGTAGCAGTCATGAGCAGGCACACACTCACACACTTTGAAGGATATTAATACATATTCTTATGCAGTTGCTCATACATGCCAGGACAGCATGTACTGTACACCGAGTTTACAAGCCCTGTTGTGCGGCTTAAACTGCATTTCTCAAAGGTAATCTGATAGGGATTAGTCTGAAGCAAGAGACATCTGGTAACCCTGAACAGAAAGAAGAAGGGTGAAAACATGAGTAAAGATTACAAACACTTGAAGAGGAAGTTTAGGTGGAAGAAGACAGATCTTTATAGAGAAGATGGCACACAAGTGGAAGGAATTGGTTTACGGTTGATTGGGAGGAGGAGAATAATCAATAGGCAGGATGGATTAGGAAGAAGTGGTTTGCAAGTTAGGATGGGAGAAAGACACATAGAATAAACTACACTGACAGTAAAGGTGAAATGAAGAGAAAGCAATAGAGAAACAAAACACAGTGAAAGCTGACACATGACAGCAGGGCAGAGTGATGGACAGGTTGTCAGGGCCGATAGAAAGGTGTGAGGGAAATAAAGCGATTCATAGTTTTTTGGTAGCAGGCCTGATGCATATGTGGAGAAAGGTAGACGGAAAAAGGTGGTAATTACTAATGAAGGAGAGGTAGAGAAAAAGGATGAATAGCTTGAAGCCGGTTCAAGAGCCTCGAAGAAAGGGAAGGGCTTTGATTCAAATGAAGTGACTACGGAAAGCCAACTGGGATTTATGACATGGAGAGAAACAAAGGATGTGGAGCAGGAGAGGAGGGTTTAAGAACAAAATAATTAGCAGAAGAGAGAGAAAGAAAGACATGATTAGTTTGCTTTGGTGGGCAACACAATGTCTCTCGGGGACCCTTACCTTGGGGAGCTTATATACCCTAAAGGTCTATAAGATGAAGGGACAGAGAAATTATCTGATAGCGTTGAACACAGACAGGTATCGTATATCCTTTTAGAATTGGATAACACACACACACACACACACTCACACTCACAGTCACAGTCACACTCACACAATCACACGACAACCATTCTCCACTGGCCTGACATTTGAAATCTATTACACAGACTTGAAAGCCTGTCGGTATATATTGCCATAAAAACTCAAGTATACTCTCTTCTCAGTCTTGCGCACTCCCTTGACACCATCTATTTTTCATCTCTTCTCTCTCTCACTCTCTTACTGAAGCAATATTGGAAGGAATATTCCTCCCTTTTTCGCTATTTGTCTTGGTCCCTAACCCTCTTGTTTTGTGACATTTCACACAAAATCTTCCACTTCTCCTTCTCCTTGTCTTGTTATAGCCTTCTATCCCCTCTACCTCTCATTCTCTCCCAATTCACCCCCGGTAACTCCCTTCTCTCACCCTTCGCTGAGGGCCTTGCTCTTCTCCAGGTCTTGTATGACGTTGAGAAGCACCTTGATCTTCTCCTGATTCGACTGTAGGTTCTCTTCCACACTATGCAGCTGGCTCTCCAGCCCACGGGGGGGCTTCCCTGTGGTTTTATCCAACAACCCTCCGGGAGCTCCATTACATTGTGCTTTCAAATGAGTCGTACAAGGCAGAGTGTGGTCGTTAAATGATTTGCTCTTCTGTTTTGTGTAGTCCTTGAGGTTCATCTCTTCCTTAGATGTTGTTTGTTTGGGAGTTTTTGGGGTCCCCTGGGTGCTTTTGGTTTGCGCAACGGGTGTGGCTGGTTTAGAACAGGTGGGTTTCGAGTTTTTGCGTGGAGTGTCTGTACATTTTAAGTCACTGTAAAGGGAAGGAGCTGGATGTGTAGCAGTGATACGGACTGATGTGTGTTGGTGCGTGTGTTCATCAGTGTGCTGGATTTTAGCCGAGTCATACTTGTGTTTGACGGATGATTGTGGCTCTGTTGCCTCAGCAGATGGTGTGTGTGGTCGTTGTGTATGTGCGGTAGCTGTGGTTTTGTCTGTGTTGTTGTTGTTCACTTGTGTGTCTGTTGTTTGCGTGGCGGAGTCCTTGTAATGCGTAAAGTCTGCAGAATGTGGCCTTGTCTGCTGCTTCGACTGTTTTTTGTTCTGTGTGTGTGATGTGTGGTTGGAATGTGAGCTGTGTGTTTTTGGTATAGTGTGAGACAGCTGTGGTACTTGAGAAGTCTTTAGTGATGTATGTCGGGGGGTGTTTGCTGTGTTTTTGGTGTAAGACAGAGAGTCCAGGGCAGGCTCTTTTCTTGCTTGGCTGGGAGCAACGGACGGTTTCCGTGGCGGATTAGGCAAAGTCTGGCTGGCTGATATTTGATTGACAGCCTTCCTGCGACATGCTCCAGTGCACGGTGTAATCTGTGATCGTCTCCGCCCACATGCCCCACACATGTTGGGTGGGGAAGTCGGCATCACTCGACAGGGCCGCGGCGGGGTGGCGTGCACGGTCGTACCAACACTCCCCGTCTTCAAAGCCGAGCGTTGGCCCTCCCCTCGTAGAGACTGCACCCTCCTCCTCTCCCGAGCCGGCTCCTTACATTCTGTGGCGTCAGTGCACACCCCTCCCACTGCGTCAGAGGCGACCACACTGCCATTTGTATACCGAGCTGTCCTTTTATCTTTAGTGTCCTTGGGGTTTGTCCGTATATTTTTTATCTGGCAGTAAACTCCGCTGCCCGACCCCTGTGACCCCATGTCGTCCTGTGTCAGGGTGTTAATCTCGTTCTGAGAAGTGTCCTTTGACACTGGCAGACTGTTGCTGTCACTTCTGAAATCTCCCCCTGTCGTTGTTTTGTCCGTTGCCATGGATTGCGGGCGATGTGAGTTGTTTGGTTGGCTGCCATGTCGTTTGATGGAGGAAAGAGTCCGCAGTCCGGGAGATGTTTGCACCCCGACACTGCACAGCGGCCCCCATCTCCCCCCTGCCAGGGGAACCCCCAGCGCAGGCACCGGATTGGTTGGGTCAGCCACTCTCCTGCCCATACTCCCCCGCAGGTCGGCTCAGCCCCCTGGGGAGCTGAACGGGATGGAGTCAAGCAGTGACATCGGCCAGCGTCAGCAGGATTATGTCCAATAAAAAACAGGGAATGTGTCCAACATTTGTTTACCCAAATGAATTTGTGTGTTTGTGAGGCAGCGGGAGAGAGTTTGTAAGTCGAAGCTGAAGACAGGAATCCAATAACCAATAAGGCTTTAAACCCTCAATGTCCTTTCATTAATGACCGCCTTACTAGATTAGCTACTCCTGATTGGACATCACTGTCAAGGCTTTCCTCAGTTTCTAAGCAGCGGCCCGCAGATGAGGAGTTGGAAGGATTCTCTGTGCATTGCGAGTTTGATCTGGAGAGAGAAAGGAAAAGAGAGAGGCAGTAAATGAGAGAAACCACAGAAGAAAGGAGGGAAACAGGGAAAACATTTGAGATTGGCAAGAAGACACAGATATTAGGCACGTAAAGCACCATATAAAGGCTTCGACCTCGACTGAATGCACACACTGACCAGATCGATAGAACTCTATCAACCTCTTATTAGACTAGCAGGTAGGTGGGAGTTAGGGAGGCAAAACACTAAATCTAATCAAGCCGTTCCTCTCCAGGGAGCAGAAATAGGGTATCTTGAGGGTAATAGCTTATATATCTATATATAAGTGAAACCCACCCCACCATAGCAAGTCAAAACTATTTGATTTAGGGACTTCACATATTGTATATTTTTGTACATGAAGACACAGTGTGACAACTTTCAAATGAGGATATGTATGCCTCCCGCTGCAGAATGTAAACCCATGATGCATCATTCCTTGACATCTCTGAGTTGCATTTGGAAATCTATCTAGTGAGTTCGGTATGAAACTACCATATTGTTACTACTCATCATCCTGTTTGTCAGTGCGGTTGAATGTTGCTTAAACCTTAGCCTAATATATCTGGATGTATTGGTCAATGGTTTGTTAGGAAGAATGATTTAAATCCATTGCTATATTATTTTAAATCTTATCTTTAATATTATTGGTAAAACTTTGAATTTGAAAAAGGGAGCAAAATCAGCCATTTTACTTGAATAACTTTAAATCACTTGAGAATTGACCCAGAATACTTGAATGTTGCACTGTGACACTATGATTAGCCGATGAAATTAGGGCAATATATCAACATTTTCCTCTGGAGGAAATTGGGTCATTGCAGCAGTACACATTGCCTGGAAAGTAAATGTACTGTAAGAGAGCAAATAAAGTTTGTTTAGATATACTGTATTTATGAGTATGAAAAACAAGATGGAGCAGAATTTGTCAGTGATTAAAACGTATCAAATCACCTAACCACACCTATTAAGCTCTTTTTTTTTAAATGTATGTGTTTGGCAGTTATCTTACACGATGGTTTTGTGAGTTCAAATTGTCCGCACTCAATGCAAGCATCAATATATTTAGACGTGTGGACCCAGGTCAGACATTTCAGCCGCTTTCTTTCTATCAACCTAATCAGTCAATTTAAATCAGACCCCTGCCCAACTCGGGAAGCCAGTATGCTGAATGTTGTTGCTTTCCAACACATGTCTTTTTAGGCAAATAACAAGAGAACCAGAAACTATAATTTGTGCATGAAATTGAGTCCAATGCATCAAGCAATCAGCAGACAGAACTCTTCTTTGTTTCTCCATCAATATGTCGTTTTCTTTTGCCCCCATCTTCACCACAGTTTTGTCCTCTCATTGCAGTCAGTGTGTGATGTTAAACTAGCTGGCATACGAACGAACACACAGAGGAAGAGATTATTTCATGCCAGCTGGTGCAACATTGCAGCACAGATCCTTGTTTTCTAGGGTCGAGGTTGGAGCAGTACAATATTATTCAAAAATAAATAAATTATGGCCTTGTTGTTTACAAAACCATTCAATATGAGTTCAAGTTTATTCCCGTTGCTGTTCCCAGCTTACTGAATAGAAACAGAATTTACATTAATAATAAGGAATAGAAATTAAATATATGTTTCTACAGTATTAACAGACTTACATTTACAAATACAATTATACACTTACATACAACCATGCATACAATAAAAATGCCACAAAACATAAAAACACAACAAACACAAGACGTCAGGTATGCGTCTTTTTTTGTCAATTCTAATGTGTAGTGTAAAGTGTGACTGCTGTAGGCAGGGTTTCTGATTTCTGCACTGGACGAGTGTAAGACTGTTGCAGCTCTGTAGTAGTCGGGGTATTTCTGCTCATGTTTGTGAGAGCAAAGCATTGAGTGGCTGTTTCATCAACATCCAATATTTCTTTGACCAGCTGAATGGCTGCCTGTCTCCTCCTGCTCCGAGGAGATAGGATGTGCGGTGGGGGGGGTGCAGCCTCTGGAGAGGATCCTGAGGCCCCCTCTTTGCATCGTCTCCAAGAGTGCAGCTTGGTGTGTGTTGCATCCCATCAGGAGGACACTGGTTAGAAGGTTCAAAGTCTAAGGGCTTGTTTGTGGTCAGTAAAAATGACTGAAAAAATGATTATTCATTAAGCGTCTTGTTTGAACCGCCAAGGAAGACGTCAGATTCATGTTCAGGGTTTTCAGAGTTTTAGTTATTTGCCCTGTAGCGGTTACAAAATATGTTCTCTTGTGGACTCATTCTGCCTGGGATGTGCCTGACTGCTGATATAATAGTTCATATGTATTCAGGATGAAAGTTATGCACACATTCACTCAAAGTAACGCTCTGTGTGACATATATCTTCTAATGTTGAAGCCGGATGTCACATGCTGTTTTGTCAGCATGAGCAGAATAGAAATGGGCATTTTAGCCCTTACCACTGACAGCCAGTGTAATTATTATTGCAGCCTTTCTGGAATTTTAGTTTTCATTTATTATCATTAAATATGAAAACTGAGTGAATATAGTTTATTATGCTGGTGGTCTGCCCATGGGGCCGCAGTATTGGATTGGGAATAGTTTAATTTTAGACAGTTCTCAGTCTGTATCCCTAAGAACCTCTCTTCATGTTAGCTGGGACAACAGTTTGTGTGTGTGTCACATAGTGCTGTGCACTTAGTGCTCATGACAAAGTTCCCGGGACACAATGGTGCTCGAGATCTTCACTGACAGCTGGCGGAGCTTCAAAATATAAGCGTTTTACATAAGGCACTATAGATCAGAGGATTTCTGCTTCAGTGACATATTGCTGCTATTTTTATGAACATCTTGACAGTGTGTTAGGATCAAGAAATGCTATATTGCTTTAAAGCTAGGAAGGGGTCACATTATGTCTGAAGGTCTAGACTGTTTATGATTTGTTGCCAGGGTAACTGTGGTAAAAACGTGTCCTGCAATGGGCCACACAGGCCCTTACGCAGAGTTCACCCATCCTTTCAGGTATGCAATTATAATTTTCCTACCTTTTCTCCCTCTCTCATTGGGGTATAAATGTGGCATCCTCGGTGCCTTCTGCATGCGTTTGTTTGTGTGTGTTTGTTTTTGGTAGTGTGGGAAATATATTTGCAAAGCATGACCCTCAGCCACCAGGTGGATGAGAAATGGACTGAGATGTGTTTTTTCGGGAAAGTATTTGCGCATAATGATGATATTTTTCCTGAGAAAACAGAAACGGAGAGAGAGAGAGAGAGAGTGACAGACAGACAGATGCAAAGCAATTTGAGAGAGCAAACCATGTGCATGTTTGTGTGAAGGCAAGGGTGAAGATTCCAGATGTGCCCGCATATGTACAAGTGTGCATTTTTGAGTGTGTATGTGTTGTTGCCCTGGAAATCAAGTCAATTGAAGGTAATTTCACTGCAGTTAATTTCCAGGCATTTGTTTTTTATGTTTTTTTCATTTCACCAGAAGCCAAGCCAGACACCAGAGCACCTGCTGCAACACACTTCCTCTATCCGCTTGCTGTTCCTGCCTATTTGTGTGTGTATGTGTGTATGTGTGCGTACCATCTCAAGTCTCACTCCTCACCCCTGACCTGCAGGCTGTCAAGTGACACCATATCTTCAGAAGTCAATTTCTCTGATTCGCCCGACTGTCTCTCGATCTTTCTACCACTCTCTAGCTCTCGTTCTCTCCCTACATCTTATTGGAACGACTCCTCTCTCGCTGCCTTCGTTTTTCATCATTACCTGTGTTTGTTGTGGCACTTTTCCACCCACCGCCCCCTTTCCCATCTCTGTCGCTCTTTGATATTCTGTGCATTTCTCTCTCCCCTCATCCTCTGACTCTATATTAAAACGTAGTCTCCCACCCACATCACACCTCTGGCTGTGCGAAATGAGCGAGGAGGAGAAGGGGATGTGACTCTGTTGGCTAGGGGATGTCTGAGAGGCGTCAAAATAAAAGCAAAAAGAGGAGACGGTAGCACAGGGAAGTGCAGAGAGGTGGTGTAGGGATACAGGGTGAGAGAAGAGATGAAGAAGAACAACCACGGACAAGATGAAAGTGATGCTTGTGTGTGTGTGTGAGAGGATAAGAAGTGAAGGCCCAGTTTCCTAAGTTGAAATCACCAAAAGTGATTAATAGGGTTGGTTAATGAATAAAGAGAGGAGCATGGCAGAGGGAGAGGAAGATCTGGGGAGCGACACACGGCATGCCAGTAATCAATACGCGCTGCAAAGCATGCTTGAGCGTCTGTCACCACACCCACAAACACTCACACAGCCTCAACACACTTCAGGGAGTTTCTAGACATCTTTTTATAACATCAGTTTGTGTGTGTGTGTGTGTGTGTGTGTGTGTGTGTGTGTGTGTGTGTGTGTGTGTGTGTGTGTTGTGTGTGTGTGTGTGTGTTGTGTGTGTGTGTGTGTGTGTGTGTGTGTGTGTGTGTGTGTGTGTGTGTGTGTGTGTGGTGTGTGTGTGTGTGTGTGTGTGTGTGTGTGTGTGTGTGTGTGTGTGTGTGTGTGTGTGTGTGTGTGTGTGTGTGTGTGTGTGTGTGTGTGTGTGTGTGTGTGTGTGTGTGTGTGTGTGTGTGCGCCAGCAGTGGTAACCGGGCACTAAATGCTCCAGTGAATCAACCCCTGTTGTTTCAAGGTGAGATCATTTTTTACTCGCCGATTGACGGGTGTGTGTTAAAGGGAGACCTAGACCCGCTTTACTGCTCTGTAATCACACTGCTTTTCTCGCTAACTGTCTCTCTCCCACTTACCAAGCAGAGCCGAACAAATGCAGCACTTCACCCATTTGAGACAGGGCACACACTGCATTTTGGGTGGTGTAGTTCTTTTGTTATTCTGCTGTGTGTGCTCAAAGCAACAAAAGATGACTATTTTAGCTTTCTCTGATAATACAAGCCTGTAACAGTAAATTATGTTGGGGACCATTTTGTCGTTAAGAGATGTCACTCAGGTTGGCACAATGATCTGCTAAGTGTAAGTCTGAGCTACTAGATTATTAAGACCCCTTGTTCTAATGTAATTGATGATTGGAAAGGACTGCTGTGGTGATCAGCAGACAAGCTGTCAGACCGGTCAGTTGCACTGAACAGCTCATTACAGCTACAACTACCCTGCTTCACCCGAAATCACACGCTACTAAAAAGGAAACTCAGCAGAATCACTTGGAATCCTTTCCCAGCTCTTTAGAAAATACAAGGCTGCCTATGCTTTACTTTTAATGTGAAATGAGGATACATGTGTGTGCAATAAGTAAGTTAAGAAAATAGCTTTATGTGAGTATTAGAAGGAGAAGAACATACTAAACCTTGCAATTCATTATGTCCAATATTTGCTGCATTACAGATGTAGATGCTTTTCTAATCAGTTTTTTTGTTTGTTTTCATAATTGGTCACTGGTTTCACCTTTTCTAAAGTGCCTCCATACAGTACAACGGTGACATGTATCCCTGTCCCTTAGACACAAAGAAGGATCCAGTAATGATCACCAAAACACCACCACTTAGTCAGCTTTGTGCACTCTGTTTCCGTTCCGTGTGTTTTAATTGGATACAACTGTGTTTTTCAGGGACAGTTCACTTTAATCAGCATTTCAATTGAGAAGCCAAAAGCCACAAAGGCGAATGTTCATCATCTCACTAAAGCCAAGTATCTCAGCCAATGCTGCATAATGCGAGGTTGGTTCTCAGTGAAGCATTGTCTGGAGCAGATTGTGTGCCTCGCTTATACAGTAGGACGAGAGTCGAGTGTCACTTCAAGGCAGCTACTTTCAACAATGGAAACTGTTTCTATCCGGCTGGCAACATGAGAACTTCATTTTGGTTTCCTACACACATATTTGATTCAATTAAATTTGATGTCAATTATAAGAATAGGTAAATGACTTTGCTCCACAGCACTGGTTCCTAAACTATTTAGGCCACTGCAATTCTTTGTAATTGTGACCCAACACTTCACATAACATGAATAGATGTGCAATAAACACAATTAAATATGACAAAATGGGGTCTAAACACGAAGCTCAGTTTCGCAAAATGTTTAATATTGTTTATATTTTAAATAAAATCTAAAATAAACAAAATAAACCGGAAGCTATTGACTGCATGTCACCAGAGACCAGAGAGTCACATCACACAGTATATCAAGTTTGAAACGTGCAATACCTCAGTAACCAGAAACAATTGATATCCACTTCCCACAAGCAGCTCAGCAAAAGAGTGTTTGCTCTGATTTGAGTTGTGTTGTTTTTCTCAGACTGTGTTGAGGGCTGAGATGTACCAGCATGTATTTGAGCTCTGTTCCCCGTGTCAAATCTTTTCCTTGCTTGCTCCAACGGTCACTATTTTTTGGGGATTTACTGAGCTGCTGAAAAACTCCTGAGGCGGAAAGCATGTTGTGTTATCATGACAACCTGCAACAATCAATAGATGTTTCAAAAGTGATGTGCCGTATTAGAAATACACCATCAATTAACAATGATATGATAAATATTGCGGCACCCTTAGCCGTTCCTCAAGGCAACCACTTTGGGAGCACTGCTCTAGAGCACATTGTGTGCTGTGTGTTCATGATATATTTACGGTGCAATCTGGCCCACCATCTTTGTTACGCCTATGAGGATTAAGTTTGCTCTGAAAAAAAATGAAAAGCATGATTTCAAGTGAGACCCTCAGAGCTATGGGTTGTCAGCCAACACTGTCACTCTTCAACAAGTGTGTGTATTATTAAACAGTCAGTGGTGCATAAATAAGACGGAGGCAGGAAATTAATTAAGTTAGATATTACTTAATTTTGTATTAGTCCTGTGAGGACTTGTCATCCTTTTCTCTGAGGAACCGTCAGATGATGATAACAAGGATATTAGCTTTAAGTAATTCATTAAAGAAAGTAAATGAAAGGGTTAAAATATTAAATAAACTTCCACACATATCCATTCACCAAAAGGATTTGTTGAGACAAGCTCCTCCAGCACACATTCATCCAAATAGATTGCATTTTTTCATTAGTTTCAATGCATTTTAGCTTCTTTTGCTTCTTTATGAGGGGAAATTGGACATAATTCGTAGAGATCTACTGTTCCATTCAGAGGGCCCTAAAAGAAGAAAATGGAATGTTCTGTTTGGTTTTATGGTGTGGGGATATTTACAACCAGGTGTGAAAAGAAAAGGGCTGAAATATAGACAAAGGGCGTATCGTTGACAAATCCATCTGCCAGCTTAATTAATTTGTTTTGTTGTTGGCTGGAGGAATGTGTTGGTTGAGCAGCGGAGCAGAGAAACCAATGTAAAACTGAATATGTATGAGAAATGTGCAAATATTTGATCATCAGAGATGAAGCGGGAAAAACAAAGTGTTTAAGTTAAAAGAGGACTTGCAGATGCGTGACCATACACACATCTCTTCAACGTGGCTAGTAGCGTGTGATGTATTCAGTTGTGGATATCTGCTCAAACGTGCATTCTTTTCTTTCTCTTTATGGCACCGCTTCTTTTATGCCTCCATTTTACCTGTCCTTAATCTCCCATGACTTTCTCTTCTCTCTATCCTATTCTCTCATGTCATCCTTCTCTTTACTGCCATATCACTCATCCTGTCTGCACATCCCATCCTATCTCTCCATCATTAACCCCCAATCTATCTCCTCCTCTCCCCCCCCCCATCCTGTTGCCCCTGCTGCCCTCCTGTCGTCACCCTCATCCATCTTCTTGCCCCCTCTGACTTTCTAGATCTTTTTCATTTCCCTGCATCTCATCACCTGCTCTGTCAATAGCAATAACACAAAGATGCATATGAAAGTACACACTTCTTCTTCAAGCCTGTCTCACTGTCAATCTCCTTTAATCTCTACAGTCTCTCTCCCTCCCTATCATCTGTCATTCTCAGGGGGAAAGTGATGTGTGTTAAGTCAATGCAGCCTAATGTCCCTGGTCTGTAATTAGAATTGTACAGCTTCAAATGATCTCTTCATGTGCTACAGGAGCTCAAATGTATGCAGTGTTATCTCTGCCTGCATGATTTTATTAGACAAGATGAAAGGTTGCCAGGATAAATTAACTTTTAGTTTGTGTGAGTCTCAGTTGACCGAAAACAAATATACAAAAATAATATTAGAAATACCTTTTTTTGAGCATAAAGAAATGCTTATCACAAATGTTCTCCAATGTTGTCAATTTGTCTTTATGTTTTTCAAGCAGCATTGAATGAAATGTATGACATTTTTGACCTTCCTCTTCAACATTTCCCCTGTGATGAACTAGATTGAATACATTTGTCTGTGCCAATGAAAGGCTGTGATAGTGTAACATAGACACATGCACACACACATGCGTAGGCACAAACTGTCATTTTAAATGATGTTCTTAACTGATTGATGAGGTTGTATAATAGTTAAGTGCATGGGTCACATCTATCCACACTCTGTTCTCTCATATCTGTGCACATATTTGCTTATTCTCTCTCTGACTCACTCGCTCTCTCTCAAACACACAAACACACACACAAACACACATGCACACATACATACACGCACACCCATACCCAGATGCACAGGGTCAGCATTAGTGTATAAGAGAAGGGTTATTGCAATATAATCCCATATTAAAGCTGCATTAGCTGTTCTGAGGGCTTTTAATAGCAGTGGGGAACACACACACACACACACACACAGTTGCACATGTGTAAATCAGCAGGAGCATTTGGGGTGTGTGTTAAAAGCAAAAGTTGTAATACATTTGTATGGTAAGACTCAAAAACGCACGTAGACGTACTGTACACCGACGTAATCATATGCAGCAAATCCTACTGTGACAGATGGATAGGATTACTCACCTACAATACACACACACACACAAACACACACACACACACACCAACATATACCAACACTGTGATGCTGTCATCACTGTCAACTCATCACTCTACTTCTTTAAACAGAAATACACATACATTTAATAAAGTTGCTGTAAACAACATTTCCTGAAGTAGAGCTGTGCTCACTTTTGTCAAAGCTATCGACTCTATAGGAAACCCATTGTACCCATTATTATCTAAATATATTGATAAATCGTTTAGTCTATAAAATGTTCACCCCAGCCCCTCAAAGTCTTCAGTGAGGTCTTGTTTTGTGAGTCATACACTCAGAGGTGTTCAGGTTATTGTGATATAAAAATAAGAAAATATGTATGCCCATGTTTTCAAGAGGAATTTTAATATTCACTTTTGTATGATAAAAAAGACTTTAATCACTATCAAAATAGTTAACGTTTATTTTCTTAATTTGATTAACTGATCTATTAGTTGACCAATCACTGCTGTTCTGATGTGTTTGGACTCCAGAGGTTAAACCTAAGGATTTTTGCCCATTTCTCCCACGGGCTCACTGTCGCTTGCTTCCATACAATCACCAGGACCTCCATTCAAGTACTGACCAGTGTCCTAAATCTTGAATGAGCTGCTTTTAAAGTACAAGCTGTCCGCTACGAGACCAGAGATATTCCTCAGGGTCAAAATAGAGCATCTTTACCAAGAAGCAAACATTTGCAGCTCACGTCACACACTTCCTCACACTGTAATATCCCTAACAACTGTGTTTCATTGCATTCTGAGTCACTTACCTTCTCTTCTCCTCCCCTTTGGTCCGCATGCTTGTTCTCCGTGTCTCTCTCTCATCTCTGATAGTCCTTTAGTCCTCAGCAGCACACTCCTCTGACTCTTTACCGCTCTCTATCTCTCTCTCCGTCTCATTCTGTTGCTACTGATCCTCGCATGCTCTCGGAGCCCGGTGAGCCTCCCTCCTCTCTCTCTTCCCCCCTCCTCCCTTTCTTTCCCTCTCCCTCTCTCACTCTTTCTGATTCATCTCAATCACGTTTTTTTAAATACCTAATGTATTTTCTCTCTCACCCTTTCTCTTAAGCTCTTACCTGTTTCTCGAATACTGTACAGTAACTACCTTATTACTTCCTGTACCTTCTCTCTTTTTCACTCTCTGTATATGTATCCCCCTTTCTGTCCCTTTACTGATTGCTAATCCTTTGCCATGCCCTGGTTTCTATCTCTCTCTGTGTGTGTGTGTGTGTGTGTGTGTGTGTGTGTGTGTGTGTGTGTGTGTGTGTGTGTGTGTGTGTGTGTGTGTGTGTGTGTGTGTGTGTGTGTGTGTGTGTGTGTGTGTGTGTGTGTGTGTGTGTGTGTGTGTGTGTGTGTGTGTGTGTGTGTGTGTGTGTGTGTGTGTGTGTGTGTGTGTGTGTGTGTGTGTGTGTGTGTGTGTGTGTGTGTGTGTGTGTGTGTGTGTGTGTGTGTGTGTGTGTGTGTGTGTGTGTGTGTGTGTTCGTGCATTGACCCTGGCATGGTGGTAGACCCAGAGAAACTTTGGCAGCGCAGAACTGTCTGCTCCTGGGAGACGAGCCAGGACAGAGTAACACGCTCTCACACACACACACACACACACACACACAGAAACACACACTCTCTTCTATCAGTCACCTTATTTATATCTTTGTAGTCTACTGTTGCCTCTCTCTCTCTCGCTCTGTCACTCCCTCTCTCTGGTAGCTTCACCTCACTCCCCCCTTCGAGCTGTTTTGTCGCTCCCCCCCCCCTCTCTCCTTTGCTCCACTTAAGTCTCCTCACACCATTCTTTCCTCTACTTTTATCTCCATCCCTCACTTCTGCTCATCCCCTGTGTTTGACCATCCCACCTCCCAGCCAACTCTTTGCTTCCGTGTCATTCTCGTAATTGTCCTGCTCCCATTCATGCAAGCTGAGGGGGGGGGTGCGGCTTTCTTTCTCCCGGCAAACTACACAGAAAACAAGATCAATTCAATAGAAAGTGAGATTAAACGCCATGTGACATCAGGTTCTAATTATGCTTCATTATGAGTGCATTGTCTTTTGTGCACGGCAGGAGTTTTGTTTCTGCAAATGAATTTCCTCATTCGTCATGCATCAGGGAAGATGAGAATAATTCGCACATCTTTCACAGGCACGTTTAAGAGTTTTAACTAGAAATCAGTATACATTTAATTATTCATTTTATATAATGAATAATGTCATCATACTTATAATATGTGTAATAAGTGAACACTAACAAAGTAATTATAGTTTAACTGTTGTGTTCCCATATTTGTGCAAGGGCTTTTGTAACTGTTCTGAGTTATGACACTCAGTGATGCAGCTGTGTGTATGGACAATGAATTATTATGTGTGTTTGAGAGTGGTCCCTCGATGCAGCGTTTGCGTAAATGTCCCTCCTGACCCCTCCCCCATCTGAAAATAACTGGTGATGCGCCACTGCAAAGTAGACTCACCTTGGGTTGTGTTTCAAATGACCTCTGATCAAGCAAGCAAAGGTGGTGTTGTGTGTATGTGCACATTACATAAGCAGCGAGGGTGCAGCAACACATGTGGCCTCTACGTGGAAAACAACATACAAGGGTGACAAAGCATGACGTAATTGTGCAGAAGCTCCAAGTTGATTTTGGAGTGGCAGATGAGAGCAGAATCATGCCATTGTCGAGGAAGAAGAGGAAGAGTTCATGTCATTGTCGAGGAAGAAGAGGAAGAGTACAGCATGTGAGCTGGAGGTTTCCTCATTATTTCTTTCCTCTTCACATCTCTCCCTCTTTTATTTCTTGCTTCCTTATTTGTATAAACCGATGGTGTCTTTTTGTACTTGACTTGGTAATGTGGGTCTAAGGACACATTGATCTGTTTTCTGAACATGTTCGCAAACTCGCACACATGAAATGCAATTATTCATGCGCGCACAGACACCCATATTGCCTCAGAAAAGCACACAGTCACCTCACCCTGACACACACATCAACTCTAATTACATTATTATTTTGTGTGTCTGTGTGTGATACTTTTAAAAGAGTGGGTGGGAGATGAGCATGTGGCCGTGTGTCTACAGTCTGATGCTGCAGGCTTTCAGCGAGACTGTGTTATGTAAATGTTCTATTCTATTTTTTTCGATAATGAAACATTTGAGAGCACCGTAATGACTTGCCACCTTGAGAGGGGGGAGGACTCCACAGACAGAACAACAAAGGAGAAAATAGTATTTAAAAAAAAAAAAGGGAAAGGCGGGTGGCGAGGAGAGCACCATGAGTCAAGATACGGACCCTAATTAGTTCTGTGAAAGGCATCAATGGAGCTAAAATAATTTGATAGGATGTTATCATTTCCCCCTGCACTTTAACTTAATATAATATGTATGAACTTGTGTATTTGGCTGCATGACCCACTTGCTCTCTTTATATTTAATAGTCCTTTAATTGGCAAAATATCTTAAATATTGGCAATTCAATAAACCAAAATCATCCATGTGTACCTCTTGGATTACTTGCTTCACTCTTCTGAGCGACAGTTGTGACTAACATGACTCAGTAATTGTTGTTCCTCCTAACAGATGAAACCCTACCGCCTAAGTATTTAAATTATGATTGTCAAAGTTAATGCTTTAATGCTCCCTCTTAATTAAAAATGAATAATATGTTAATTATATTTAATTGCATCAATCGGGTTTCACTGTTTATCCCACTGGGCGTCTCTTGGGGAGAATGAACTTTAAACAGAGAATACAAACCAATTGACATAAAGGGAGTCTATGTAACTTTTGGAATAGGAAATAACACAACACCTGGTGCATATGCTGCAAGAGCCTTACTTTGATCTAAAGCTAATGGTTTTAAAAGTTAGCAAACTTCCGATTAATACTGCTGTGTTGGTTATCTGACTTTATGTCTCTCGTCTAGGTGATCGTGATAAACTATGTTGTAGCATGTCAACATCATTTCATTGTTTTTATCGCCATGTTCATGACTCTATGTGCCAAGGATTGAGTCCATGCACAAGATTTACTTTCCTTACTTTAGATCTACTCAACTAGGAATGTGTTCAAAACATTATAGATGATGCATTGATCATAGGGTGTGGAAGCAGTGGGTGTTTCTCAATCGCGAGTACGCTTGCTTGGTGGGCACATGTCTGCCGAGCATCTTGCTTCAGAAGCGAGGCAAGAATACTTCCTGGCATTCGGAAAACAAAGAGTGGAACAGGCTAGTGTGCAGGTGTGCGTCATATGAGAGGCCCCGCCTTACACCTTCCGCAACAGATTTGGGGAAATTGGTCCATGCGCAAAGCATTGTGGGGATTTTAAGACCGCGGAGTCTACCAGTGACGTGCGGTGAGGTTCATGGCTGGTGAGGCACTGACTCTTTCAGAGTCAGATTTACAAATATTATAGCCTATTTTGACCTTAATCGAAATATTCTGTTATTTTCAAAAGCTTTTTTAGTCTGATGCTATGATTAATTTTAAACAGACCGATCAACAAAAGGATACCCAAAATCTAAATATTGGATTGTTCTTTCTAAGTAAGATCCCATTTTCATTACAGTTGTGGTCTTACCTTGACTTGAAGATGAATATAAGTCCATGCTATCCTTCTGGACAACAATCTCTATTACTGTTTTGTAAAAGTCCTCCTTATCTTCCCGTAGTTTCAAAAGTCTAGTTTCTTTGTTGTTTGCGGTAGAATAACAGTAGCAACAAGAACCTGTGGGCTCACGTGCGCCCCCTTCAGTGCGGCAGAGGTTATGGCTGCCTCCCCTGGTGATTTTTTCATTGCCGTTGTACGAGAGACCAGCGAGCCTAAATATCATATATACGTGAAATAAGTTATTTAGAGACTATGGATGGCGAGGATAAATGTAATAAAGGGATCTACAAACATTACATTGGTGACATACAGTGAGATGGTAACAGGCATGCGCTTAGGGCCCGCTTTCCAGCCAGTTTCTGTGGGGTGACGCATTCTGAATTGAGGCAGGGCTCATCTGTGCCTCACCTCAGAATGCGTCACCCCACAGTAAATGGCTTGAGCGCGCTCACAAAATAAGTGGCCGCGCTAAATTAGTGCCCGCGCTCCAGCAAGTTACTGTGGGCTTACGTGAGGCAGTGCTCGTGCTTGCCTCACTTCTCATCGCTGCCGTAGCGGAGCTCGGCAAATTTGCTGATTTTGACTATAAAATGCGATTGGAATCATACAGAAATCACATTTACACAAGATCAGTGGAGACATTTTATTATTATTATTATTTAGTTTTTCTTTAATTGTATTTCCGTTACATTGGAGTATGACAGGTGAGGCTCTGCCTCCCCTGCCTCCACTGACTGCACGTCGCTGGAGTCTACTCATGTGCGTACGGTGGCCCGGAAGTGCAAGACACCACAGCATTTCACAAAACACCACAGCATTTCAGAAAACACTACAGCATTTCAGAAAACACTACAGCATTTCAGAAAACACCACAGCATTTCAGAAAACACTACAGCATTTCAGAAAACACAACAGCATTTCAGAAAACACCACAGCATTTCAGAAAACACCACAGCATTTCAGAAAACACTACAGCATTTCAGAAAACGCAACAGCATTTCAGAAAACACCACAGCATTTCAGAAAACACTACAGCATTTCAGAAAACACTACAGCATTTCAGAAAACACCACAGCATTTCAGAAAACACTACAGCATTTCAGAAAACACTACAGCATTTCAGAAAACACCACAGCATTTCAGAAAACACTACAGCATTTCAGAAAACAACAACAGCATTTCAGAAAACACCACAGCATTTCAGAAACACCACAGCATTTCAGAAAACACAACAGCATTTCAGAAAACACTACAGCATTTCAGAAAACACCACAGCATTTCAGAAAACACCACAGCATTTCAGAAAACACAACAGCATTTCAGAAAACGCCGCAGCATTTCAGAAAACGCCG